CCCCCGCCCCCCCTGCCTGCGGCGACGGCAGCGGCTGCTAAACCCTCAGCAACAACGCGAAACTGCAAGGCTCCCCAAACCCTAAACCCTAAACCCTAAACCCTGAACCCTAAACCCTAGGCCCTACTTGCCGGGCCCTAAACATTGAAAGCCCTGCCTGCGGCAACGGCAGCGGCTGCTAAACCCTCAGGAACAACGCGAAGCTGCTAGGCTTCTAAAGCCCAAACCCTAAACCCTAAACCCTAAACCCTAAACCCTAAACCCTACTTGAAGAAGCGCGTCTCCACGTGGACCTTCGCGAGGATCTCCAAGTGCTTATCCATGATTCGGCAGCGCTCAAAACGGGGACTATAAAAGTGGCAAACCTAGGCAGCAGCAGCAGCAGCAGCAGCAGCAGCAGAAGCAGCAGCAGAAGCAGCAGCAGGAGTAGCAGCGGGAGTAGCAGCAGCAACGAAAGCGGCGGCAGCAGCGCCAAAAGCAGCAGCAGCAGCGAAAGCGGCAGCAGCAGCAGCAAAAGCTGCAGCAGCAACAGCACCAAAGACAGAAGCAGCAAAAACGAAAAACGAGAGCAGCAGCAGCAGCAGCAGAGTGAGTGCCCCCAGGGCGCTTGGCAGGCGCCACCGGCCAAAGCACTGAATTAGGGTTTAGGGTCCAGGGTTTAGGGTTTACGGCCTTTTCTGCTGCTGTTACAATTCCCAAGAAATCCGTTTCTTGAATTTCTGTATATTCCCCGTGGCCTTTTTCTCTAAGGGCAGTTTGCTTCTGCTTCGCAGCCTAAAACAAATAAATAAATAAATAAGTAAATAAATAAAAATAAATAAATATAAATAACAAATAAATAAATAAATAAAAGTGTTTAAAAGAATGAGCTCTTTAGGGTTTCTACGCGCTGCGCTGGCCGCCCGCCGCGAAGCAGAGGTGGCCCCAAGGGTTTAGGGTTTAGGGTTTAGGGTTTAGGGTTTAGGGTTTGGCGCGCCCGGAGCTCCTGCATGCGCCGCTCACGCCAGTGAGACAAATCGTCGAGGCCCTTTCCCTCCGCTTCCTCTGCAGCAAGAAGTCCGCAGCAGCAACTGCTGCTGCTGCTGCTG